AACCACTGCTTTGTGTAAACTCTTTGCCACACCCAGGATAGTCACATGCATAGGGACGTTCGCCCGTGTGCACGCGTTTGTGTGTTTTCAAATTACCATTTATAGTAAACTCCATGCCACACCCAGGGTAGTCACACGCATAGGGACGTTCGCCCGTGTGCACGCGTTTGTGTGTTTTCACGATGCTGACTTTGTGTAAACTCCATGCCACACGACGGATAGTCACATGCATATGGACGTTCGCCCGTGTGCACGCGTTTGTGTGTTCTCAAACTACTATTTTGTGTAAACTCCATGCCACACCCAGGATAGTCACACGCATAGGGACGTTCGCCCGTGTGCACACGCATATGCACCTTCAGATTAGCAGCACTGGCACATGTCTGACCACAGTCGGGCCACTCGCAAGCGTGTGGCTTCACTGTGGCAGATGTCGAACCAATAGTAGGAACCGATAAACTGTTTGCGGAACGGAACCTGTGCGTTAGAAATGTACATATTGATGGGTTATGTTTGTGACATAAGTGTGATCATGGTGCCTATGCGATGCTTTCTATGCAATGCTTTCAGAATGAACATCTCGGAGCGTCGTTTGTCGGAGTATCCGACCGACAGACGAAGCTCACTGTATTTAAACTACGCCATATAAAAAACATACAATCAAAGTTTATGTAGCTACAGGGATGCCTGTGAATTATAGATATATACAAACGTCTTGCGTCTTTTGAGTATGTATTTGGATCACTAATTCGAGTGAGCAACGCAGAAAAGTGTTAAATTTGCGCCAGTTACGGTCGTATTTTGTATCGGAGAAACCACAGCAGATCAAAATGAATCATAACAAGTATACGACTGACAGATGAATCTGTCGAAATAAAATGGAATAACACAACACACACATTCCATAGCCATTGTCAGTGCAGCACCTCACCTGTCGTGATCTTTAATCCGCAGATAACCGAAACAACATCAGCATACACAGAACGCGTATTCTCGGACAAATATTGGGACTACACTCACTACCAATACAACCTAAAGAAAATCCTTAAGAAAAAATATAATACTGGAACTAGCTCTCCTTATGACAGTGGCCGAACGACACCGCTGTGAGTTGTTAAGACACCAGCGTAGTTACGAAAAGAAACAGTATATTCAAAGGACTGATGTCATATATATATATATATATATACATATACATATACATATATATATATATATACATATATATAAATATAT